TTTTCATATAAAAACCCTACTTGACAACAAATCAAAGCCCATGTTACTGTACCCATTATTGTTTCTGTTGGGCTCCCCTAATTTCACAAGTGACAAATGACACCAGGAATCATGGACTTGTTTCTATGCCGCACAGTGAAAAGTTTCCCTTCAACGGTCTAAGGCATGGTGCCAGATCATGTGGGAATCGCGGAAGAAATTTAAGTTATTGTAAGAACACTGAATGTTGTAGTTCTAACAACTGACCTCACCTTCAGGATAACCAATGGGCTAAATAAAAACAAATCATCCTTCTCCCAACAAACAAACAAACAACCAAACAACCAGCAGGCATTGAGGCCCAAAGTTAGGACTGAGAAATCCTGCTTTGTCCCACTAAAGTCTTGGAAAGCAACAGAAACCGCTCTTTCCCATGACAGTACCCCCACTGAGACCTGAGTGGAGCTGCCTTCAAAACAAACAAACAAACAAACAAACAAAAACCTGTTCCAGTTTACATAAACAGGGCCTACAGTAGTATTTTACCCACCTAAGGCTGTGAATAAAAACTTGATTAAAAGTACACGGAAAAAAAAATAAGGCCTTTATTATTGCACGAAACAGCAGAAGTTCCTGGCTAGTGATCTTGGAGTATGATAACAGTAACCTGAACCATGGGAGACAAAGAATGAAAAAGAAGACAATCCTCCAGCCAAATGCAGAGCATGTTCTTTTAGGCAAAATACAGACAAGAAAAAAAAAAAGGCGGGGGTGGAGGGGTGGGGGTATTAAGGTCATTTGCAAGGCACAGGCAATTGAGGCTTTCAGTGGGGAAGGGGAGAATTAAGGTATGTTGGGGGGGTGGGATATGCACTCAGTAGAGGTGCTGGGGATACTTTCTGGGAGATGCTATAGTAGTTAGTTACCTCTGGCAAAGGAGACAGACTGTCTGGAACGGGCAGGGTACCGCCAGTACAAATGACACATGCCTGGAACTCACGTGGTACTTCCCCCCTCTGAAGACTCTAGTCTGCTGCAGTGAACAACAATACAAACAGTCTTGGGGGGTTTAAGGGTGCTTTCAAGCGTAGGCTTCCAGGAGCTGTGATGGTCTACCAGCGTGTGGAAGGATGTCCCACACTTTCTGCCTTTTCTTGGACACTTTTGGTGTTAGAAGATGCTACAGGGTGGTCTAAGATCTCCTCATTTGCTGTATTTGGAAGGTCTTTCTCCAGCGTGCAGGATCTGATGCCGAGTGAGGGTAGACACTTGGCTAAAAGATTTCCCACACTGGTCACATTCGTAGGGCCGTTCCCCAGTGTGGATTCTGCTGTGTTGAACAAGGTTGGTAGTTCGGCTGAAGGTTTTCCCACATTCGCCACACGTATAAGGCCTTTCTCCCGTATGAACCCTCTGGTGTTTAACCAAGTCAGCTCTCCGGCTAAAACGTTTCCCACACTGATCACAGTCGTAAGGCTTTGCTTTAGTGTGGATTTTCTGGTGTTCAGCAAGGTTGTAGCTTTCCCTGAAGAACTTCCCACATTTGGCGCACTCGTAGGGCCTTTCCCCAGTGTGAGTTCTCTGATGCCGATCAAGTCTGGATTTGTATTCAAAGGCTTTTCCACACTCCCCACATTTATAAGGACTTTCTCCTGTGTGGACCCTCTGGTGTCTAATCAGGGTGGCCTTCTGCGTATAAGATTTCCCACACTGCTCACACTCGTAAAATTCTGTGGTAGTGTGGATCCTACGGTGTTCAATGAGGTAGAAGTACTGTTTAAAGAACTTGCCACACTCCCTGCACTCGTAAGGCCTTTCTGAAGTGTGGGTTCTCTGATGTTTCATGAGGGTGGCTCTTTGCCGGAAGCACAGACCGCACTCCCCACACTCATAAGGCTTTTCTCCAGTATGGATTTTGGAGTGTTTAATGAGGTTGGCGCTTTGGCTGAAGGATTTCCCACATTCTTCACAGTTATAGGGCTTTTCTCCCGTGTGAACTCTCTGGTGCACGGTGAGAGTGGCCTTGTGACTGAAAGATTTTTCACACTGTCCACATTCGTAAGGCTTGTCCGTCCTGTGAGTCCTCTGGTGTGTCACCAGGCTGACGATCTGTCTGAACAGTCTCCCGCAGTCCCCACACTCATACGGCCATTCTCCCGTGTGCGTTCTCTGGTGCCGAAGGAGACTGGAGTGGCATCCGAAGGCTCTCCCGCATTCCACACACTCGTAAGGCCTTTCTCCACTGTGGACTCTGCAGTGTTCACTAAGGTTGGAGCTCTGACAAAAAGACTTTCCACACTCACCACACTTGTAGGGTTTTTCGCCAGTATGACGTCTCCGGTGAATTCGAAGTGTGGCTTTTTGGCCAAACAGTTTTCCACAGTCAGGACACTCATACGGTCTTTTGTCAGTTTGGTCTGTCTGGGATGGCACAAGTGTGCGTAAATCTTGCTTACTGCATTGGCTAGATTCCACCTTTCCTCTTTCACTGTGGACTCTCTGGTACTCAAGAAGCTTGTGTTGGGGGCTGGAAGACTTCTTATATTCTTCTGACTTAGAATTCTTTTTCTCACTGTGAAAAGCCTTTTGCTTCTCGCCTTTGGGAGTGGCCTGGGGTTGGAGAAGATTCCACATAGCTGGGAAGTTCGCTCCAGTCTTACTACAGATGAAAGGATCCCCTGATACATGGAACACACAGCTCTTCCCAAGGGAGTCCGCATCTCTCTCTAACCAGTTCTTGGCTCTAGGATGTTTCTGGTCCAGGAGGTTTGCGCACACCTCAGACAAATACGGTTTCTGCCCAGGTAGGTCATTCAGATGCAAGATGTCTTTCAGCGCTGTGACGTAGGTGTCAGAAGGATGAGTCTTCTTCGTGGGTAGACCCTCCTTTGGAGCTCGGACCTGTGGTTCTTCAGTGGGTGACACACTCTGTGTACAGGCTGTCTCTCCCGTCTCTGCTTCATGCCAACAATCTGAAAGCACAGAAAACATAGTCACTGTGGTAGGAATTACCAATAATGTTCTAAATTTATTCTCCTTATTGAACTCACCACGAGGAGTGGCTAATTGTTTTTAAATTTTTTATATGTTTAGCTTTATATTCAGATCATCTTACGATCTGTAGGATACATGCGGAAAATATTTGCCCCAGCTTCTAGCTACTTTTATGGCAAAGATGTTAATTGTGTCAACTGGGGAGAGGAAAAAGTGACATAAACCAATTTTAATCTCTCAGAGCAAATCTTGCTTTTTGGCAGATTTCTGCTGGAAAGACTACCTCGTGGCCAACAATCTGCTTTTAGCCAACTATCTACAGGTGGATTTCATTTGTGGTTGGTGAAGGGGGCATGGAGGAATATTATTGAAATGTTTCCATAAAAGAGGAGAGTAAAGACTGTAGAGTAAACAGCCTTCCCTTACAGGCACCAATCTAGATGTCAAACGGAAACATTTTTCCCATGTCTACTTACTTTCTTAAAGATTTAGTTTTGTATTTCTATGTATTGTGTATCTGTGTATATGTGTATATACATACAGGCCAGAGATGGTGTCAGATCTCCAGGAGCTGGGTTGTAGACTGTGAGCTGCCTCATGGGCACGCCAGGAATTAAACTCCAGTTCTCTAAAAGAGTAGCAAGCACTATAAACCATGGAATCATCTATCTCTTTTCTTTTCATTTATTTATTTATTTATTTATTTATTTATTTTTGGCCCTTCTCTTTCTCTCTGCCTTTCTCCTAATCTTTTCATTCCCTCATAATGTGGGTAAGGAGGCCAATTCTTAATAGATAGGATAAAACTTAACTATAAACATGCAGTTCAGCTGTGGTTAGAATAATCCAGACCCAATACCGTAAACCATGTTTTCATAGTTTGTATATCTGTGAATAGGTTTCTTGGCCCTAAATATCCTGACCATATTCTACACAATAAGGCCATATCCTGGGGATGCAGGGATGTGGTTAAGAGGGAACACCACTCGTCCAAAAGTTCCAAATTTTGTTTCCACCATCCACGTTGGATAGACCCACAACCATCTCTAGCTCTAGCTCCAGGAGATGCGATTTTCTCTTCTGGCCTGCCACCCCAGTGCACATAACCTGCCCTCCAATGAATCTCTTTCTTTCTTGCGTTTGCATCCTTAGCTGCTTCCTCATGATACTCCGGGAGAGTGGTGGTGCACTGTACCTCCTCCTTTCAGAAATAAATCCCTCTTTAACTGCGTTCACCCCTGCAGGAGATAATTTCATCTCTAGAAAGTAAAGTCCACCGTGCAGATTAATGAGTGCCACAGCAAGCCGGGCGGCTGCTGAGATGGAGCAGAGGCTGTTCTCCTGATTATCCCAGTCGTTGCCTCTGCCTTCCGAGCATGCCTTTGGCAGGTTCGTGTTTGTGCCCCGTCCAGCTTAAAACTGTAACGGGTCATAAATGTTAGGTATTCCCAATGGACCTTTGGGCCTAAGGGCTGCAGGCCGCTGCTTGTGCGTCTCTGGGCCTGTTTGGTCCCGGGGACAATATTGTAAGGTAAGAGTAGGCTGCCCTACTGCTGTGGCTGTGGGGATTGTCAAGGCTGTTGGCTTGTTGATGGGAGAAGAAAGCTCCAGAAGAAACAGAGTGAGGTGTCCCTCTTTATAATTTAAAATGACCGAGGGTGCCACTCGACAGGCTGGCAGTGAAGGGCTAAAGGTGGGGGCCTGAGCCTCAGTGGCTTTCCCCCGTGGCTTTATAACATACTTTCTAGCTTTATAGATGATGGCAAAGAGGGTCAGAAGGCCCCTATTTGACATTCTTGTTAAGTTATCACAACACAAAAGTTTCAGGAAATAAAGCTACCGTTACCACTGTTCTCTCAGACATAGAGTCCAAGCACATTAGGTGGACTTTAGTTGAAAGCAGAGCAACTTAGAGAGGTCACCATTTCTAACCAAGACTTTTTTTTTTTTTTTTTGGTTTTTGAGACAGGGTTTCTTTGTGGCTTTGGAGGCTGTCCTGGAACTAGCTCTGTAGACCAGGCTGGTCTCGAACTCACAGAGATCCGCCTGCCTCTGCCTCCCGAGTGCTGGGACTAAAGGCGTGTGCCACCACCACCCGGCTCCAAGACTATTCCTAACATAAGGAGCTCACCACACAAACCTCAACCTACAAGGTACAGATCCCAGGCCTACCCTACCTCCTACGCTCATCTGATGTGCTAAAAATGGAAACTAAAGAAACCAAAGGTTCAGCAGGTTGAAAGCCCAAATTCAACAAACAGAAACCCAAACAGAGATACATGGAAGAGGGGGAAGATTAAAAAAAGAAAAAAAAAAAAACTGGTAGAGAAAGATAACACTATGAACATCTTTATGTATACATATGTATATGTACACACATATGTACATGTATATGATCACAGTATTATTCATGTATATACACATACATACATACACATATGAATGTATATTTTAAGTAAACATTAATCCGCACACACAAAGGCCTAGCTCCAGACCAAGGCTATCCTCAGATTGGCTTTGCCTGGCCTAGGATCAATCAAACAACAACACGCACTAGTTTTATCCGGCCCAGCTCCATCACATATCCCAATCACACTTGCCCAATCCAAGGCAGGATAGACTCACACATCAGACACACAACCAAAAAAAAAAAAAAAAAAAAGTCCACATGCCCAGGCTATGCCGAAAAAAACAATATGAAAGGGCAAGACAGCATGTCTCCCATCAAAACCCCGAGGTCTGATAGACCTGTTCTTTAGTGAGAATTACTTAGATGAATCCCAGGACACAGAATTGCAAAGGAGTATCATCATTGGTGACACACTGCTGAGAGTTTGAGGCTAGCCTGGTCTACATACTGAGTTCCAAGACAGTCAGAGGTATATATAGTGAGACTCTGTCTAAAAAAAACAAAACCTGAAAACAAAACAAACTCACAGACTTTATGAAAGACTTCAAGGAGTTTAAAAAGAACACGAGCAGACACCTAACTGGATTTCAACACAATAACAATAAACGCCTGTGCAAGAAAATACAAATATAAGGCCGAATGACATGATGAACACAATTCAGGATTTGGAATCTGAATTCAGTAGAGAGGCAGAAAACTCAAGCTGGAATGGGGATGGAATTGAAAAAAAACTCGACAACCCAACTAGAAAACTAGCAAAAGCCTTACACATAGATAGATCAAACAGAAGAGCAAACATCAGGTCTTGAAGATAACCCAACAAGTCAACTAGAAAACTCAATGGAAAGCCTTACAAACAGGATGGATGGAGTAGAAGGCAGACTGTCAAGTGCTGAAGTAGTAGAATTAGACCACATGACAATGATTATGAAAAGAAACTAAAAGCACAGGAAAAGAGTATGCAGAAACTTTGGGACACCATGAAAAGCTCCAATCTTAGAATTTTATTTATTTTTTTCATTTTTAAAATTCAATTTTAATGTTATTATTAATCTTTGCATTTTAGATATGGATAAAGGGGAAGAATTGGTGGCCAGTGGCATAGACTAGATCTTCAGCAAGATCATAGAAAAAATTCCCTAAACTAAGAAAAGACACACCCATATAGATACAAAATCACACAGAACACCAAGCAGACAAGACCAGAAAAGAAGCTTCCCATGGCATGTAGTAGTTAAAACACCAAATATACAGAATAAAGACTACTAAAAACTGTAAGAGCAAACACACCAAGTTGCATATAGAGGAAAAGCCATCAGAGAAACAGCTGATTTCTCAATGAAAGCCAGAAGACCCCAGAGCAATACACTCCAAATTCTAAATGACCATGACCACCAACCTAAACTACACTACTTAGCAATACTATCTTCCCTAATTGAAGAAAAAAAAATGTTGAATGAGAAGGAAAAACGTTCCGTGATATGAACAGGTTAAAAGAATTCATAGGCAGGGCCTCTGACAGTGGAACCAGTATTTATCCCTAGTACATGAATGGACTTTGGGAGCCCGTACCACATGGAGGGATGCTCTCTCAGCCTAGATACATGGGGGAAGGTGTAGGTCCTGTCTCAAATGATGCGACAGACTTTAAACTCCCCCATGGGCGGTCTCACCCTCCCTGAGGAGTGGATGGGGGTGAGATGGGGGTTGGTAGGGGGGATGGGAGTATGGGAGTGAGAGGGACCTGGGATTTGTATGTAAAATAAGATTGTTTATAATTTAAATAAAATTTATATAAAAATAAGTCTAAAAAAAAAGAATTCATAGGCAGAGGGTCACCTCTAAACTTAATGTGGGTAGCAATACTTTGGAAGGAAAAGAGGAAACAGACAGCAAAACAATGACTGTAAATATCCATGGCTTTCATTCTCCAATTGAACAGGCTGACAGGTGGTTCAAGAAACAAATATCCAGCCAGGCAACCACCCAGGAGGGAGAGGCACGTTCCAGGGCAGCCTGGACCGTTACATAGAGAAATCCTGTCTCAGCGCCTCCTCCCCCCCAAAAACAAAACAAAACAAAACTCATCTTTCTGTTGTCTTCAAGGAACTCATCCCTGTTTTTACCCAGCTTTTAAAGATAGGCACTACCTTCAAGGGAAAGATTAGAAAAAAAAAAGTTCAGTTAAATGGGACCAGGAAGCAAGTAGGTATACTAATATCTGGCAGAACAGACTTCAAACTAAAAGTAACTATGGGTGATAAGAAGGATACTTCATTCTAATATAGGAAAAAATTTAACCAGAAGACATTACTACCCTAAACATATATGCATCACGATTTCATACAAAGTGAATTACTAGAATCAAAGACACAGATAAGCAACAACTCACTAATAGCAGGCAGTTTTAATACCCCACTTTCTCCATAGACAAGTCACTAGGACAAAAAACACACAGAGAAACATCAGCATTAAATGACAGAGTCTATCAAGTAGACTTAGTAGATATCTACGGAATACTTCCTCCAACACAAAAGAATATACATTCTAACCAGCAGCTCATAGAAGCTTCTCTAAAATAGATTATATCTGGGACATAAAATAAATCTTAGCAAATTCAGAAAAATAGAAATAACTCCATATATCCTATGTGACCATAAAGCGATAAAACTTAAAACTAACAGCAAACAAATCTCTAGGGGGGAGGAGGAGGAGGAGGAGGAGGGGGAGGAGTAAGAGGAGGAGGAGGAGGAAGAGGGAGGAGGAGGAGGGGGAGAACTTTCCCAGAACTACATGAAAATGAATATACAACACAACAAAACCTCTGGGACATATTAAAATTGTCCTCTGAGGAAAGTGTATCGCTCTAAGTGCCTACCTTAAAAAAAAAATCAGAAAGAGCTCAAATTGATGACTTAGTGAAGGCAACTGAAGAATTTGGAAAATGCAAGAACAGTACAAACCCAGATCAATAGCTGGCAAGAAATAAAATCCAGAAAGAAACAGAAAATCCATTAAACATTAAAATCCATTAATGAAACAGAAATAAAGACAACACTACAAAGAATCACAGACCTTGACCCAACTAATGAAAGAGAGAATCCAAATTAACAAAGTCAGAAATGAACAGGGAAATATTACTACAGACAGCAGAGGCATTCAGAACATCACAAAAGACTAGTAAAAAAAATCCTGTATTTAAGTGGGAACAGTTTTTTTTTTTTCCTATGTGATTTGTTTGAAGTCTTGTTGGATACACTGAATCATGGAACACCAGCTGCTACCTGGGAAGAGAGAGACTTGGTTCTTGATGTTATGAAAACCTAGGTCCCATAACTACTTTCCTTTTGGTTAGTATGTAAGTTACTTCCCGTTGCTGGGAGTAAACACCAGGACCAAGGCAACTAATAGAAGGAAGGACTTATTACAGTTCCAGAAGGGTAGGAGTCCATGATGGCAGAGTGGAGGGATGGTGGCTGGAACAGGAGAGGTCACATCTGAAACTTCGAGCAGCACACTTATAATTATAATGCTGTTAGACACACAGCAGATTCCTGGCTTGATCTGAACACAACCCGGATGTCGTACCCTGCACCAGTTGTTACTCACGAATGAGGAACAGTCAATTGTTGTGGCCATCTTGACATGTCTACCTCATGAAAGGAATCAGGACTTTCTCCCAACCCCAAGTTGTTTAACTATATAGGAAATAGATAATGTAAGTCATCAAGAAAGACAAGACGGATGAGTGATTGGTTAAAAAAAAATCAGTATTTTAAAGAGGCCAGGATAGAGGGTCTTGTACAACAGTCTACCCACTACATAAGCACCAAACCTCCCAAATGTATGAAATTCCTGAAAGAGGCAGCTATCAGACACCACCTAGAAGCCGGCTGAACTTGGAGAAAAAGGAATTATGGATATGAACTTGGCCGTCTTGCCAAGGAAGGGGCAATACCACTTTAGAAGCTGTGGTTAGTGTTAACTGTCAACCTAACAGAATCTTGGATGACCTGAAAGAAGGGCTCCCTATATCTGTGGGGAACTGTTTTGATTGTGGTCATGGGTGGAAGACCTGCCCATTATGGGTGTCACCATTCCCTGAGCTTGGGATCCTAGACTATAAATGAGAAAGCGAGCTGAACACTGGCATGCAACCCGTTTTCTCAAACTCCTACTTCTGTGACTTCTCTGCCACGATGGAATGTGGCGTGGAACTGTTGACTCTAAAGAAAGCCTTTCTCCCTCATGTTTCTTTTGTCAAGGTATTTTGAAGGCGAGGATGTAATAATATCGCCAGACCTAAGATAAATGATAAATGGGTGTTTATTGGGGGACAATTACACAAAAAGATACAAAGAACCTCCTCCTCCTCCTACCGGATCCGATGACCCAACAGAAAAAGCGCCCAAAGGGAAGCCACGCCTCAAGCTCCTCTCTTTCTCATCTGCCTGAAGCCACACCCAAAGGGGTGTCACCGCCATTTCAGGTCCACGGACCAGATGCCTATAGTATTTCATTAAAGCAACAGGAAAAAAACTAAGACAGACTCATTACTCTGTGTAGAATGTAGAGTGTAGAATGTCTGCCACCCAGACATTTCGAAGAACGCTCTGGGGTGGCATGTGTTAGGGCTGTTTAGGGTAGTTCACATAACTCAGAACTGAGACCCATGACACACCTGCCCAGGAAGTAGGGAAGTTAACAGGGCCTATAGTTTGACTGCAGAAATGGCAGAGCTGGTTCTAGGAGAAAGAGACAGATGAGAACCAAGACACGGGCGGTACGGGCGCCTTACCCAGTGAGGCTATAAGTGCAAAGTTCTCCAGCATGACATCGAGATACAGGAGCCTCTGAGATTCATCCAGGAGCTCCCATTCTTCCCGGCAGAAGTACACAGCCACGTCCTCAAAGGTCACACAGCCCTGTCATGATGGGGACAAGTCACTCAATGACCAACTTCTTCTAGGATTCCGCGTTAACTCACCCAAGCGCCCTCCCTTAGCTTACTGTCCTCTTGAGAAGCTAAAGAGCCAACACATTGAAGCCCACCTGTGACTTCATTTTGAGATCACTAGGACCTCCCAGTGCACCCAGAGAGTGCCAGTTATCTGGCCATAACTCTCACTCTCCTGACTTTTCTGCTAACGGCATTACTGTCCAGATCTGGATGTCATGGGGCACACGCAGAGCCCAAACACTTAGTAGGCTGAGAGACAGGAGTACCAGCTGACCGGAGGAGTTAAAAAACAGCCTTTAGAACATGAAGAAGTGAAGAACCAGAAACAAAAAACAAAACAAAACAAAGAAAATAAAGAAGACCCAATTCCATATCCTAACTGAACGTCAAGCCATAGTTCAGGGCAAAATGGGCCTTCACCATTTGGGATGTCTCTGTGATTAATCTTCCCCAGAGTTTCAGATCTGTGTGACTAGCTACCAGCTGACACCTGCACTATAGGTTTTCAAATCTTAATATCCTTTTTTTTTGTATCTATGTATATAGCTATGTATCTATGTATGTTGTATCTATGTATCTATCTATGTAGCTATCTGTGTGACTAGCTACCAGCTGACACCCCCACTATGGGTTTCCAAATCTCAATATCCTTCTTTTTTTGTATGCATGCATATATCTATGTATGTATGTATCTATCTATGTATCTATCATCTATGTATGTATGTATGTATGTATGTATGTATGTATGTATGTATCTATCATCTATATACTATCTATGTATCTATCATCTATGTATCTATGTATCTATGTATGTATCATCTAAGTATGTATCTATGTATGTATCTATCATCTATGTATCTATGTATCTATGTATCTATGTATCTATGTATCTATCTATCTATCTTCTATTGTGTGAGTGTCCACGTGTGGGAAGCAACATGCATGTGGAGTGTGGCGGTCAGGAGAACCAGATGGGGTTGGTCCATGTCTTCCACTGTGTGTCCTGGGCTTGTCAGGCTTGCTGCTAAGTGCCTTTACTCACTGACCTACCGTGCTGGTGCTGTCTTCCCCTTTTCCTTACATTTGTTCATTTTTTCAGTGTGTGTGTGTGTGTGTGTGTGTGTGTGTGTGTGTTCACATGTATGTGGGTGTACTCATGGAAATCAGAGGGCAATCTGCAGGGGCCCGTCCTGTCCTTCTACCATGTAGGTTCTGGAGACTTGAGTTAGGTCCTCTGGCTTGGTGCAAGTGCCTTTACCTGCTGAGCCATCTTGTCAACCTCTCTGTCTTTCTTAGGCTCTCACCACATCGTGCAGGCTGGCTTTGAACTGGTGATCCTCTTGCCTCTGTCCTCCCAAGTGTTGAAACTCCAGGCATGTGCCTC